GTCTATAGGGCCCGCTTCCACCCAGATCCATTTTCCTTCGTGCCGGTACAGTGGAAACCCATGCCAAGAAACACCTTGCTTGCCTCCAAGGTGCACTGGGTTCCTTGGGTTTCAATGGTTTTGCGATGGGAAGCGTGACGTTCCCACACCAAACATGCATGGACGTCCCAGGGTCTCAGGATTGGGTTTCTTGTGGAAGGTTTCTTGTGGACTGGCCTCAACTGCATCTTGTTTTGAGCGCGGGGAGCAGGCTTGATGTGTGGCACCAGGAGGGGCCCAGAAGCGTTGTCGTGTATCGACAAAAATGTGGGTTCAGATGGATTCCGGAAGCGCTAGGATGCGTGTACCGAGGAGGGTGGGGGCACATCTTTGGGGAGGTACCCGCACACAGATCCAAGAGTGCTGAGATGTTCGTGATCAGAGGTGCAAAGTGACGCAGGAGGCAGTTTGCCACCAGGACGTAGTACGGAGTCATTGCGTCGTTTCGCACGGTCCAGTGGTAGCCCATCCCCTGAGTGGGGCATTCATGGTCATCATACGTACGCCCTGTTATGCATTGAGCCGATGTTTATTCTGCTGCATACAGACAGGCCAATACCACACGCGCGCGCACACACGGCGCCACTGAGGTGCACTGAGCAGCGTGGCCCAGAGAGTGAGGCCCGCGTCGGTCCCCGCACGGGGCCTTCCCGCAACCGTCGCCGCAAGGATCACTGCTCGCAGGAGCGCAGACGGAGTGCGCCCCTCCCTGGGGGGAACAACAGGGTACATAATTACCGATGCGGCTGCTCCCCGCGTCTCCTGGCCATGATCTCCTGAAGCCGAATCAGGCCATGGCGACGAGGGACGCGTAGCGGTATCGCTTCGTGTTCTCCCCTCTGGATCTCGCCGCCGCGGAGTTTGGGATCGGTTATACGGTCCGAAGCTTTTGATCAGCGTGTCGCATTGCCAGTTCTGGCCCACCACGCTTCGGCGCGACACGCTCACCATCTCCCCGTTCCCGAGCATCAGCGTCACGAGCTTTTCCCAACCTGCCGCCCCGAGGGGCAGAGCAGCACGCCATCCACTCGCAGGGCACGCCGCGTCGCCGGGGCGGTCGCCGGCAACGCTGAGCAAAAGCTCCTTCGGGGCGGTCGACATCGGCCCATAATTACGGAAAAGATGGGCACAGATATTGACAGCATGTCTTGATGATTTGGAGCAAGACCCGATGTCGGTGTCGCCGCGGACGTTGGCCATTTGAGACAGAAGGCCGCCTGCCCAACAGCGGCCGCTGTCGGTTTGGGACAACAGGTGTTGTTAGGCATCGCACCCATTTCTCCGTATCCATTTCGGCCAGGGAAACGTAAGATTCGAGTACGCCGGAACTTGGGTTTGCCAGCGTTTTTTGACGAGCCCGCCCTGGATTTTGACGGTCCAGTTATCGCCGGATGTCTGCAGCGTCAGTTCATATCAAATGTTACACTGGGTCGCGTAATTTTCATGATGGCCTCCTTCAGGCCAACCCGAGTCCCCCGAACGCGAGTTTTACGTTTGAGTCGAGCATGTTCCTTTTCAGGAGGAATATGCAGGAATAGCAGAACTAGAGTCCGCTGACGATTTGTTGTGCTCTTTTTTACTATGTTTGAGTACTCTTTGGCTGCCCCTTCTTTTTCTTGCAAAATCCGCCTGCAGGAGGACATGCCCGACCTCACCCTACGCCTCCCCGATGTCGGGCCTCCGAACTCCTGCCCGTGCGCCCCAGCCGCAGCTGCACTTCGGCTCCGGCCCGGGGGCCTTTTTGGGGGGTCCTCCTCCCGCTGCGCCTCCCTCGGGATCCCGCAAAGGGGGTGTGTTAGGGGAACAAAAAGTGGCGTAAACAGAAAAACTCGGAGGTCCGCGCGGATTTCTCGGATCGGCGCTGGGGCCCCCTGGCGGCGCCTCCGGCGCCGCCCCTGGCGCGCTCCGCGCGCCAGGGAGCAGCGCCGATCCGGGAAATCCTCGCGGACCTCCGAGTTTTTATGTTTATGTTTTTTTTTTGTTCCCCTAGGTGTGCCCCAGGGGGGCGGTGTGACTTCGATCGGCCTTTGCACCGAACCGCCCAAAGCAGATGCCCCCTGGCCGCCAGCAGCTCCCCATAGGTGCCGCTTGGGGGGGGCAGGCGGGGGGGGGCATCTGTGTGCGGCAGTTCGGTGCGCCGCCAGCGGATCGAACTCGTCCCCCCCTCGGGGCTCAAGAGACGGGGGTTAATGCAAACGGGGGTCAGCCAGAGCGACCGATTTTGCAGGACCTGCAGGGCCAGGGTGGCATTGACCCAGGCTTGGGCGCAGGCTCCCGCAGGATCTTGCAGGATCCTTCGCGTTGACCCGGGCTTGGGTGCAGGATCTTGCAGGATTCTGCAGGGCCTGACTGACCCGGGTTTGGATTGACCCGGGTCAGAAGATCCCCGACCCCCTCTAAAACAGGGCTAGGATCGGGATAAATCGCTCCAGAGCGTTCCGGAGCGCTCTCAGAGCGTTCCGGAACGCTCTGGAGCGGCCGCGGCGCCCAATACATCCTCCAAGCCCGCCGATTCTCAGAGATTTCGAGTTATCCCGATCCGATTTTGTCCCGATCTTCGTGTCGTTTTACCCTCGGGGTCACTCCCCCTTCGGTGGACCCCGAGCTGCGCCTCCCGCGCGCCCTCGGCGCACCGCCATGGTGCCGGCTCCGCTCGCGCCCGGTGCGGCCCCCTCCGCGCGGCCCGCCTCTCGCTCGCGGGAGCCCCGCCCGCCGCCGGGCGTCGCCTCGGCGGGGGGAGGGGGCCCAGGGGGCTCGGGGAACGCAGGAGGCGTTCCAGAAGAGGGCCTCGCCTCGCTCGCCTCGGCAAGGAGGGGACAGCGAGGGGGGGGGCCGAGGGCAAGGGGATCCTCCTGAGGGCCTTCGGCCTCGCTCGGGCTCCCGCAGGGGGCCCCTTCCGTAGAGAGCCCCGCGGGGCCGCCGGGAGGCAGCCCCCTCGGCGGAGGCCCCAGCAAGGCGAACCAATGCCCCAATTCCCTGCGGGAAGCTCGTTTTCGGCAGATTCGCTCTTGTGGTGTTCGACTCGCCCACCGCCATGTGGGGGGGTCCAAACAGGACCTTGCCTTCGAGGGTGGAAGGAGTTGTCATCTGTTCCGCCGCGCCAGATCCCAATCTACTTCAAGCTTACTTCCAGAGCCGATGTGCCTTTGCTGTGTTTCGTTCTTCTCTGGGAGGGCCAGAGCCCAATCTACTTGATCCTCCTTCCTACGTCGTGTCGTGACCTACTTCTTCCGACCGACGTGTAACGGCATAAACCAGAATGTTCGGAGGTCCGCGCAGATTTCTCGGATCGTCGCTTAGACTGCCTCCGTGGCGCGCGGAGCGCGCCACACCAGGGGGATCAGCGACGATCCCGGAGATGCGCGCGGACCTCCGAAAGTTTCTGTTTGTGCCATGTTCGGGGGCGGAAAAGAAGGGGGTGATGACTAGGGGGGGGTGGATATCATGGCGCGGGCCATGATATTTCCCCAGATTTCATGGCGCCTCTTCTTATTTCATTACGTCCCTGGCCCCCCCGCTGGGCCGCGCACATGCCGCCGGTCATGATTTGCACCCCCCCCTCTTGGACACCCCCGCTCCCGACATGTTTGTTGTTCCCCGAAGGTCGGGCCGCCCTGTCCTCCAGGGAGGAGGACCGGAGGTCCATGGAGACCACGCGTTCACAGGTCGATCCGCGAAGTGCCCCTCGTCGGTTCTCTCGCGGGGTCGGGCTCTGCGGCCGCAGGCTATGCTGGTCGGCGCCCCCATCGGTCTGGTCCCGGGCTGTTTTCCCCGAAGGTTGTTTTGCTTGGTGGTCTCCAAACCAGATTGTGAGACACCCGGTGGTGACCCCGATTCCCCAAAGAAATAATTCTGGGTCACCACCGGGTTTGGGGACACGCGGTCGCCACAAGGTTTTGCGTTTCCTGGGCCAGCCAGCGCTCGAAAACCATTACCCAAATCGCCCAAAACTCACCACCGGGTGTTCTCACCATCACGTTTGGGGACCACCAATTTGCGAAAGGGGGTTCTGTTTGGGAAGACTATCATCGGGTTGGGAGGATGGGGCTGGGAGAAATGAGGATATCTTTACCCCTAGGCGGCCGCCGAAGGTGTCGTTCATTGCATCCGGTTGCTATTGCTCATGCCCTTCATCCTCCCAACTCCTTCCTCCCTGCACGATAAGTGTTCTCCTCATTGAACGGTCCTGGGCGTTCAGAGAACGGTGCTGCCTGGTTCGGCTCCGCCTCTGGGCGCGTTTACTGGAGGACGCCTCGCTTGCACCGCCGCTTGATATGACGGTGGTCCTTCTGCATTCGGTCTCTGCCACGACCACCACATGCCTGAACAGCCAGATATAGTCCGCAGTGCCCCACAGAGTTGAGTCCGCCGCGCATCATGCGCAGCACGCGCAGCGTTCCCTCTTGGGGGCCTCGGGGGCCGTCTTGGAGCGAGATTGGGCGCCTCGTGGGCCGTTTTGGAGGAGGATGAGGAGGAGGCGGAGGAGGAGGAGGGGGACGATTGGGTTCTTCAAGGTGGAAAGACGAGCGCTGTGTCAAAATCATACAGAGCCGTACGTCTTTCCATGAGTTTGGCCCCCTAGGCCGGCCACCAGGGCCTCCCAGACGGCCCAAGACGCTCCAAGAGAGCCTCAGGACGTGCCCCTTGGGGCCCACCTCGAGAGCCTGGACTCCGAGTAACGATCCCGAGGCCTCTGGACAAGTCATGCGCGAAGCCCGGAGAGCGCCCAGGAATAACAGGAGCTTGAGAAATGGGCCCATGAAATAGAATGTCATCCCCCCCTCCGCCTCGGAAAATGAACGTTCCATTGTTTTAGGCAGGAAGCAGACACAGACGACCGCGACCGCGTCCACGACAACCGAGCTCACGACCGCGACGACCACGACGACGACCACGACCGCGCCTTCGACCGCCACGGCGATCGCGGCCGCGGCGGCGCCGAGCGCGAGAGAGCGAACCACAGGCCTTTCTGCTTCCGAGAGAGCGGGCACGTTCGCCGAGCGCCGCCTTGTGCGAGGCCCTCGCGCGCGCGCGAGCGCGCGCGATGGCGGCGCGGGGCGCGGCGGATGAGGCGGTGCATGGCCGCGATCAAGGACCGCTCGGGGTGCCTAAGCTCGAAGAAGAAAAGACTGCGCAAACTCAAACCTGCGACGCGCCGCTATCTCTTGGACCTGCGCTGGGCTCCTCTGGCGGCGCATCCGGCGCCGCCCCGGCGCGCGGAGCTCGCCAGGGAGGGGGGTCCGGCGCCGATCCAGGACATCCGCGTGGACCTCCAGAAGTTTATGTTTGTGCCGTATTGTGTTCGACTGCAGATGTCAGGTAGACAATTGTCGGGTTGGGAGGATGGGGTTGGGAGACATGAGGAGATCTTTACCCGTAGGCGGCCGAAGGTACCGTTCACTGCATCAGGATGCTATTGTTTACGCCCGTCTCCCAACCCGAGCTGGAACAGGAAAGCTGTTTGAGAGACACTGTAAGTTCACGATGACCTACGAGGATCCATCAGGCGCGATCAAACCACGTCGCTCGATGTCATTATCACGGGCAGCAGGTCCTGGAGCCGAGGTAAAAACAAGGAAACAACATCAGGGGGCCTCTCGGAGCAGCCTCGGGAATCCATGTACACGACAATTCCTCTCCTCAAGATGGCGTCGCCGCCGTCGTCGTCTCGGAGGGCCCTCGCGGGCGCCTCCATTGGCGGGGGGCCCCTCGCTGCAGCGGCCGGGCGCAGCGCGAAGGGCCGGTCGGGGACAGGCCCGGGGGAGGGGCCCGAGGACGCGAGGCTTCCAGGTTGGCCCCGCGGCCGCCCGCAAGGAGCACGAGGTCCAGGCAGAGGAGACAAACATCGAGGGAGGAAGAGGGAGGAGGAGGAGGAGGAGGAGGAGGAGGAGGAGGAGGAGGAGGAGGAGGAGGAGGGGGAGGAGGAGGAGAGGAGGAGAGGAGGAGAGGAGGAGGACGAGGAGGAGGAGAAGGAGGAGGAGGAGGAAGACGAGGAAGGAGGAGGAGGAGGAGGAGGACAAACATCGAGGAAGGAGGAGGAGGAAGACGAGGAGGAGCAGGGGTGTTGCTCGAGCTGGCCCTGGCGCAGGGTGGCCCCAGCTTCCCCAGGGAAGCCCAGGTGGCCTCCAGGGCCCCGGGTCAAGGGACCCGATGATTCTCGTTTACAAAAGGGCCTTGGGCGTTTACTGAACAGCTTCGCGTGTCGTGGTGATTCTTATGGGGGTGGATGTTCTGCCCTCTGAAAGAACGGCATAACCATCAACTTTCGGAAGACCGCGCTGATGTCTTGCATCGGCGCTGGAGCCCCCTCCCTGGCGCGCGGAGAGCGCCAGAAGCGGCGCCGGAGGCGCCACCAGGGGGATCAGCGACGATCCAAGAGGTCCGCGCGGACCTCCGAAAGGTCACAGCTGGACCGAGGCGGAAGATCGAGTTCGGCTCGGAGAGGGTACCCTGGTGCTCTCCGTGTTTGTTGGATAGTTTTGCGCCTCCTGGGGTGGCTACCGTTGGATGTTCTGTTTGTCTGTTTCCGGCCGACGGAGGGCCTCATGTTCTCGCGTTCTTGAAGGATGCTCTTCTGGCCCAGGTCCGACGGCACGCTCATGCCATGATCTGTTCCCCGAGAGCCAGGAACGACGGCGACGGCAGTGCGCGACCCGGCGACGGCGGCACAGACACGACGGACGACCGACGAATCGCCCGCAGCGGCGCGACCGACGGCGGCGGCGGCGGCGACGACGACGACGACGAGACAGCTGCCGCTCGCACGGGGCGGGCGCGGGATGTCGCCTCCGGCGCACCGCGCCCGCTCCTGCGCGGAGCCTCGGCATCATAGGGCAACGATAGTGGGAGATACACGCCGGTCGTTGAAAGTAGGTATTTTGGGACTCCCAGATGCCAATCTACTTCAAGCGCCTTCCTACTTCAAGAATCGACCTGCTTTTGCTGTGTTTTGTTACTCTCTGGGAGGACCCGGACCCAATCCACTTGATCCGCCTTCCTACTTCACGATTCTACCTACTTCTTCCGACCGACGTGCAGGCATAGGGGGGACGCATCGACCCCCCAGCGCCCACTGATCGCCGCCGGGGGCCCGACAGCCCCAAGCTGCGCAGGGCCGTGCGGGCTCGCTGTCAGAGGCCCACCGCCGATCTGTCGGCGAGGCCTCGCCGATGCCAGGCCGATGCGCCCCCCCCCCTGAGCCAGTCCCCCCCCCCCGACCGTTGCCCCTCAGGGCAGGGACGCAGACGGGGTCCGAGGACGCACTCATGAGGGGGACGGTGGTTGAGGTTCGAAGGCCCGAGGCCCGACGGGCCCCATCTGGGAGTCCCCCCAGACATCCACCCACAGACCTTTGGGCGCCCCGGGAGCGAGAAGGAGCAGCACGGCCAGAGTCCTTCCCGCCTCCGAGCCCCGAGCCTGCGCAGGGCCCGGCCCTCAGGGGGGGCGGGGGGCGGGGCCCGGAGTGCCCAGGAGGGGTGGGGCTCGGCGAGCCCCGGGGGCCTCGCGGCAGAGAGCGCCACCGTGGAGGCCAGAAGCACCGATCCTTCGATCCAGCCCCAACCGTTCTATCCAGTCCCGGGGCAGGGTCGCCCATGGCACCCATACATTACCATGATCATCGCGCCCTACACACATAGCCCGTGGTACCCATATACAGGGTCGCTCCTGACCATCATCATCTACAGGGTCGCCCATGGCGCCCACATATCACGGACGTACGCCTTCCCAGGGTGGGGTTCGGCGAGCTCGGGAGCCCCGCGGCAGAGAGCGCCGCTGGCGAGGCCAGGGGCGCTGTGGAGGCCCAGAGCTGGCCAGACGTGAGAGTGACCTTTCGCTAGAGTGACCTTCCCAGGCCCCCTCGCCTTGCGAAAAAATCACGACGGGAGGTTTTTCGCTGTTTTCGGCTTCCAGTGGCCCTCACCCGGCCTCGGGGCCCTCAAAAGACGACTCGGGATGAAAAACCAGCCCCAGGGAATCGGGAGGGATCCAGACCTCCTAGGGTTCGACGTTGTGAAAAATCCAACGTCGGGGATATGGGTTTGGTGCGGGCCCAATGGGGTCCCCCGATCGCTGACCGCGAAGCGGCAGCAGCGGCTCGCGCGCCGGGGTTTGGCCACCCCGCGCTCCCCATCAGTCGCGCCCCAAAGGCCACTGTTGCCGAGGGTCGCTCTTTTACGTGTGGCCGACAGAGGACCACGGGGAGCAGCGGTCATGGCAGAAGGCCTTGGGCGTGTTCTCTGGGATGCCGCGCCAAGGCCTGCGGCAGGACACCGCGGCCTACAATGCCACGATGGCCGCCTGCGGGCGGGCCCAGCAGTGGCGCGCGGCCGTGCGGCTGCTCGGGGAGATGCGCCAGCGGGGCGTGCGCCGCAGCGCCATCTCGTGGAACTCAGTGGTCAGCGCCTGCGAGCGGGGCCGGCAGTGGGCCCAAGCTGTCGCGGCCATGGCAGGGTTGCTAGAGGAGGAGGAGGAGGAGGAGGAGGAGGAGGAGGAGGAAAGAGGAGGAGGAGGAGGAGGAGGAAGAGGAGGAGGAGGAGGAGGAGGGAGGAGGAGAAGGAGGAGGGGGAGGGAGGAAGAGGGAGGAGGAGGAGGAGGAGGAGGAGAGGAGGAACAGCCGCAGGAGCAGTGTGTGGCACATACGTTATGAGAGACGGGGGGGGGGGGGGCAACGGTATTACGCCATCCCTGGGAGCATGGGTGACGAAGGATTTCGTGGCCCTGGAATGCAGCCGTTGTTTGTTGGATTATCATGTCTGGGAGTCTTTACTGTTGATCCCCTCTTTGGTGGTACATCGTATATTTCAGTCGCAGAACACTTCCCCCCATATCTCGCACCTGGTGTTAGACAACATGTGACCCTGGTCATCGGTATACAACGGCAGCAACAGCAGCAACAACAACAACAACAACAGCAGCAGCAACAACAACAACCATAACAACAACAACAACAACAACAACCATTTTAAGGCTGTACGCTCTTACTCGCCCGTGAGTCATTCAACACGTATACCCTACACCCTCGATGCCCGCCCTCTTCGTCTTCGATCACACCCCTTTCGGGGGGATTATTTCTCTTTGCTGGGGCCAGCGGGCTTAGACATACGGGCAAACCGGAACGGGCGGACAATCCTTCGGGGGCGTACATCTCTCTGCCCGCCATTGGAATTGGCGCGGGCCCTGCAAGAGGAGGAGGGGAAGAACGAGGGAGAGTGGGAGGAAGGGGAGGGGGAAGGACGAAGGAAGAGGGAAGATACCACGTTGTGAAGGCGTCCTTGGCGCGTGCGTGGTTCCTGAGCGCCGAAACGCAATTCCAGAATAATTTGTGAGGACGTCGCACGCGAGAGCGCAGTCCTGAGTACATTGTGAGGAAATCTCAGGCGGAAGCGGGGGCCCTGACTAAGTTGCGAGGAAGTCTCAAGCGGGAGCGCCGTTCCTGAGCAAATTGCACGGAAGTCTCAGGCGGGAGCGGGGGTCCTCACTAAATTGCGAGGAAGTCTCAGGCGGGAGCGCCGTTCCTGAGTCAATTGCGTGGAAATGTCAGGCAGGAGCGGGGGTCCTGAGTAAAATTCGAAGAAGTCTCAGGCGGGAGCGCCGTTCCCACGTAAATTGCACGAAAGTCTCAGGCGGGAGCGGGGGTCTTGATTACATTGCGAGGAAGTCTCGGACGGGAGCGCCTTTCCTGAGTAAATTGCGCGGAAGTCTCAGGCGGGAGCGGGGGTCTTGAGTAAAAATCGAGGAAGTCTCAGGCGGGAGCCGTTGTTGTTGTTGTAGCCCGGGGGGCAGGGGCACAGTTTGAGCAGGAAAACTTTCTTTCAGAAAAAACAAGGTGCGAGCCCCGGGGGTGGCACTTCAATCGAAAAAAATCAATGTGCACCGGTGGGGGGGGATCAACAATAATTATTTTTCAAGAATGAGAGTTCAACAACAACAACAGCAGCAGCAGCAACAACAACTGATAACAAACAGTTTTAGACTCTTCGCTCTTGCTTGCGCGCGCCGTCCAACACGTATATCCCAAACCCTCGATACCCGCCCTCTTCGTCTTCATTCGTACCCCTTGGAGATATCGTCCTTACCTGCCGCGCGTACATGGCGCAACCCCTAAACAAGGAAAGAGAGGAAGGATTGAAGTGGGAGGGAGAAGGATGGAGCACGGCAGACATTAGAAGGAGGTGGGCTAGGAGCAGAAAGCACGTGGCAGAACCAGACGGGTAGATCGGGCGGGCAGACCCTAACGGGCGGGTCACGAAGACGGGCCATGGCGGCCAAGTCGAGCAGGCGGGCGGCTGAAGCGTGAGACCTGCGTGAATCACGAGGAAGTCTCGAGCGACAACGCGATTCCAAAGTAAAACGTGCGAAAGGCCAAAGCGAGAGCGTGATTCCTGAGTGTCGAGGGCGCGGCGTCTAACCAAACACATACATACACATGCGAGAGCGCGACTCCTCGATACATTTTGAGGGAGTGCCGCGGGAGAACGCGATTTTGAACAACTTGTGAGGACGCATGAGGCGGAAGCCTTTGTTGTGGGGCCTAGCAAATCAATCTGAGGCGCGAGAGTTCGCCTTGTTAAAGAAGGGTGCGAGCCCCAGGACGAACACCTTGATTGAAAAATTGGCACAGTGGGATCAATACCACTTGGTCATGTAGAATCAAAGTTCAGCGGCTCCCGCTTTAGACTTCCTCGCAGTACATTCACAATCGCGTTTTTGCCCAAGACGTCCCCACAAATGATCCAGGAATCGCGCCCTCGCTTGGGACCAGCTTGCAATATATTCAGACGCCGCGCCCCTGACACTCAGGAATCGCGCTCTCGCTTTGGACTTCTGCACATTTTACCCGGGAGTTGCGCTATCGCTCGAGACGTCTTCGCGAGTCATGCAAGGCCGACGCCCCAGCGACCCGCCCGCTTGCCTCCGCCGTCTGGGCCCGCCCGCCCGACCCGCCCGTTGGGGTCCGCCCGCCCGACCCGCCCGTCCGGTTTTGGCGTTTGGTTTCGTGTTCCGACCCCCCTCTCTCTTTTTGTTGATCTCGTTCGTGTTCTACCCGTTTTCCTCCCCATTATCTCGCCCCCCTTCCCTCCCTTCCCCTTGTTTTAGGGGTCGGAAGTATTCCGCCTCTGAGTGCCCCCATCATCCCTCCTCCTGCGCGGCCGCCCCGTCTGTCTCATTCTTTTTTTCTGCATGATGGGCAAGTCGTTTCTCGGTGTCCCCGTTTCGCTCTGTCGCTAGTGCAGCCATTGTGCCAACGACACGTGGCAAGTAAGAAACATGCACCCCCAAGGGAGGCACGATCGAAGACGGAAAGGGCGGGCATCGAGGGCTTGGTATCCCACACACACGTGGAGTGGCACGCGGGCAGATAAGAGCGAACAGTATTCACGTCTTTGTTGTTGGCGTTGCCATCGTCCCCCGCGCGACCCACCCGCGACCCACCCGCGACCCACCCTGCGCCCCATCCCGCGACCCACCCGCGACCCACACCGCGCTCGCCCCCATCGCTCTTACCCGCAAGTGCGGGGTGGTGCATATAATATTCAGGCTCACGCCATTCCGCCGACCCCCAGGGGAGGAAATGTGCGGTTTTTGATTTCGTATGTGTTGTTCCCAGCGGAGCCGGGTGAAATTCCGTGCCCGCCGGTGACTGACTGACTGACTGATTGATTGACTGACTGATTGACTGGCTGAACGCCAGGAGGGCACCTTGAACAACACATTTCAAACCGCCCACGGGCGCGCAACCGCAACTGGGCGCACATTTCGACCCGTCCGCGGGCCCGCAATCGCAACCGCAACTGGGCGACACATTTCAAACCGCCCGCGGGCGCGCAACCGCAACCGCACCTGGGCGACACATTTCAATCCGCCCGCGGGCGCGCAACCGCAACTGGGCGACACATTTCCACCCGCCCGCGGGCGCGCAACCGCAACCGCAACTGGGCGACACATTTCGACCCGCCCGCGGGCGCGCAACCGCAACCGCAATTGGGCGAGACATTTCAACCCGCTCGCGGGCGCGCAACCGCAACCCCAACTTGGGCGACACATGTCAAAACGCCCGCCGGAGCGCAAGCGCAACTGGGCGACACAGTTCAATCCGCCCGCGGGCGCGCAACCGCAACCGCAATTGGGCGCCACATTTCGACCCGCCCGCGGGCGCGCAACAGCAACCGCAGATGAGAGACACATTTCAACCCGCCCGCGGGCGCGCAACCGCAACCGCACCTGGGCGACACATTTCAATCCGCCCGCGGGCACGCACCGCAACTGGGCGGCACATTTCAACCCGCCCCGCGGGCGCGCAACCGCAGCCGCAACTACGCGACACATTTCGACCCGCCCGCGGGCGCGCAACCGTAACCGCAACTGGGCGACACATTTCAACCCGCCCGCGGGCGCGCAACCGCAACCGCAACTGGGCGACACATTTCGTCCCGCCGCGGGCGCGCAACTGCAACCGCAAC